GCATGTGGAACGGAAACAGAATGCATTTGGTTAAGCGTTCCCTGTTAGGTTTCTTCTGATCGGTACTGTATCTATGATTTTGAGTTTTCATTAGTTGGCAAAATCTGGGACAGTCAGGAAACGGTAAAATCCCAGACCATCTGGTATTTTCCTGACATATGAAAACCAGGCTTAAGTTACTTCATCCTGCATAGAAACTGGAGATAAGATTAGTACTGGCTTTATGGGCCGCATGACTTGTATGCAGACTATTCAGAGCTCATATCTTTGTAGCCTGATCAAAGTCTGAACTAGCCTGTTTCGGGCTGTTGGTGGTTGGGGAAGAGCGAAATAAAGAGGGCGATTGAGAGAAAAAACGATGGGGACTGAGGTGTAGTCCTCCCTTGTTTTTACTCTTTCTCTCCTTTTCTCCCCAACTACTGAACTGAACAGGTTAAGCTAATGAGGCAAAAATGGAAAAAAAGATTCTCCTTAAATGAAGCCCTTTCAGGGCTGCTGTTACAGAATAAGCGTCATTATGTTGGCCAACTTGACTAATCATTGTATTTTTTGTAATCTTTCCCACAGGTGTCACACCTAATACAACAGGTAAGCTAAATACATTTGCCTGCTTGCTGGCAATTTCTTATCAGAACACATGTTCTGTCAGTTCTACATTTCATAGTATGTTCTTTAAGTGGTACAAAAAAATGTGCTTTTTCCATTTCTCCCTCCAGTTGGTTATTGCATGAGAACCTAGTCATACTGGGAATAGGGTTCGAAATTGCAACTCACTGGTCGCCAATGCGACCAGAAACAGTGTTGGTGACCAGATGTTAAGACCTGGTCGCCAGTGGGCAGCTCACCTTTTTTTTTTTGGCAACCTTTTGTCCTCTAAGGAAAACGACCTCACTTGAAGAGGAAAAATACGATTAATTTTATTCGAACAAATATAACCAAACAAACCTGGGTTCTTTGATCGCTAACTGGATCGCCATGTGTGATTCAGCCGCTTCTTTATTTTACAGCACGCGACATAATGCATGTATGGAGTCAATCTGTCCTTTTGCTTTGCTTAAGACTGTAAACGATCCTTGGGAAACTTTGAAATGGCTGCCCGTGTTCGAAATCACCCTATAATGCATTGCAAAGTATTAAGTGTGTCATGTATGCCTGCAGATTATGTCTCTTCTATTTGATTTTATGATCTGGCCACTAAAAATTTGCACTTGTCGACTAATTTTTGCCTCCAAGTTGCCAAATGGCAATTTTTTAATTTCGAGCCAAATAGACCAGTTGCATAAGTAGGGCCAAATTCAACAAGCAATTGGTTTGGAAACGTAGTAAAGGTTGTTTAACTTATTGTTACTCAAATTTGGCATTATTTTATATCCAGTGGTGCATTGCTCAGTGATTATAGTAGATTAACTTTGCCTAGTGAAGGGTGCACTAAGCAAAAATGGGAAAAGTGGTTGACTGGTTTAGACTGAGTTGCATTGTTAAAAGGATTTTCTTTTCAACTTCACTTTCAGTGATGCCAGGGACGTCCACTCCTGGTAAGTCATTTATGTTGTGGTGAAATAGGAGTTTGTAGTCATCTCGTTAAGAATCTAGGAAGCAGTTGTGAAAAACTCTTTCTTTGGTTATCCAAGTGGAGGAGGAGCAGTGGAAAATGGATAATACCCAGGGCTGTTATTAGGTTTTGAGTCACTTGTAGCCTTGTTCTCCACACCCATAGCAAACTTGTTATTTTGTGGGTGAATTCTATCAACAACAGGTAATTTCACGTGTAGCATCGAGGGAAAATTAAGTGTACTAAGCTGTAACAGGTGTGACAGGTTATGGCCCTAGGTGACAGCCCTGATACCTTGTCTACACTGCAAAGCAGAGCTGAAGATTTAGCTGCCTTTTGATCAGTTCAAAAAATAAAAACACTCGGGAGGTTATTTGAATCACAGTTGAACCCTTTTTAAGCGGCCACCTTCGGGGAAATGGGAGGTTGCCACTTCACAAGGAATTAGTGCGAAGTTTGTTAGAAACATCAGTTTATTCAAATACAACATGCTTGTAGCTTCCCAAGTAACTTTGCTGCTGTGTATGAATATGAAGACAGAAAAGCCTCTATTGACTTTCCAATAAACCAAATATTGCCAAGCAGGTTGTCTATTATCATTCTAGAACCCAAGATATTGTCGATGGAAGTCAGGCTTGTAGTTAAGGAGGACCCCTATTAAGAAGTTCTTGCCAATGTTTTTTGTTCCATTTTTTTTTTTAGCTCCGGGAGGAGAGAATATGACCACAACAAGTAAGATGCATTTTGTGTTATTGCTATTGTTTTCAGCGCAAAAAAACCAGCAAACGGGGGAAAAAAAACAGTTTTTGAGCTTGCCCTTTTGGGCAAGTTGCATCTATGATGATGTCTAGTTATGTGATAATTTCACCTCTTACAGAACTTCAAATTTACACCTCTCCCCCCCCCCCCAAATAAACAACTGTCAAGCTTCAAGGGCGCTAGTCACCCACACTTGTTTTTGTTTACACAGGAGAGTTTGGCTATGATGTTTTTTTTTTATTTTGGAGTATGTTGAAATGAAGGAAATCTCTGTGAAAAAACTTAAGATAACTAAACATACTTTCGGGAACACAACTTACAGTAAACCAATAAAGATTTTGCTTGACCATGAGATATCGATTATTTTGATGGCATCGGAAGTGGCAGCGGCTGATTAGGGTCCTTTAAGACCAGTCACTAATTAGAGGACTTGAATGTTGTAATGATTCTTGACCAACTGCTGGTTTGCTCTTTCTTTGCATTTACAGCTGAGGCACCAGCTAAAACTGCAACACCAAGTAAGTGACCATTTTTGTATTTAACAGACCTTCTATGATAGATTTTTTTAAGAAATGCTGCAAACAAGTGAATTTTCAGTAGTGTAACATCTCAAGGTTTATTTTTTGAAAATGTTTTGAGGTTAAATTTAATTGCATTCCTCTTTAGCAACTTCTCCTGAAATTGGCACAATATACGTCCACTGTGATACATTAGTGAATGTTTTGTATTTCTTTTTATTTCAGCAAGCGGAGTTGTTAATGTGAAAGCCCTTGCTGGATTTGTCGCCTCCTTCGCTTTGATTGCGTAAGTGTCCAGAATAGTCTGTTGTTGAAGAGGCTTCTGTATGCTGAAGTTTCATTGTTTAAATTAAGCCTGCCATGTCAAATAATTTTGCCCAGTCTGAATCATCATCACCATCGACACTCCTTGTTGGGCCATGGGATGCATAAGGCCTTACCCTGTCTAAACGCCTCAAATGACAGAATGCACTTTTCAGGACACCTGCGTGGATTACAGGCTATGTATCCCTGAAAAGTCCTTTAAAATGTAACATTTAATTAGTTAAATTTTGCTGGAAAAGTCCCTCACTTCTCACCAGTAGTTGTGTAGTTTTCTTGAAGATCCTTGAACGTGTGAAACTTGGGTAAAAAGCAATTTTGACGAAAACTGTAGGGTAGGGAAACCACTTTTCTTAGTCTCAAAAGTTGATTTTGATTATCCTAGCAAAGAAAGTACTCCAGCCTTCAGTGGGGTGTCAAGTAATGACACTGAAGGAACGCTGCATGAGCAGTCAAATTCATTTTGTCTCAAATTTGGAGGGCAAATCTTTACCAGCTATTTTTAAAGTGCTACTGAAACGAAATTTTCGTATTCTCTTTTATTATCCCAATCTATAGTTTCAAACGTGCTTAAAGTAATGGTTCGAAGGTTTATTAAACAGAATTTGAACTAATTTGCATATATGACTTTTCGCCGCCGACATTGTCACGCTGTCTCTCGTTTCCTGAAAACATTCCTGTAGGGTCATGGCAGCTTAGTTTACCTTTATAGTTTAAATTCGCTCCCTCATATAAAAGAAGAGGGTTTCTTAAATTTTTGCTGTTGTGATAACTTGTAGGATGTAGCAGATACAACTGGACTAAAGGTCACTGGCACAATCTCGTCCGCTGTGAAACTCACGAAGTGTCCGGTTTCCTCAAAGCGAAGCGACTCGAAAACTCGAAGCGTTGCTGCGATTTGTGCAGCAGCAGTCCAGATAATATTTTAAAAAGCCGCTTTCTCTTGTTTTGATGTCTTTTGTACTTTATGAGTGTAGGTATTGTTTAATTGAGTGCTGGCCATTTCACCAAGAGTCCTGATCACTTTGCGATCTAAGAACTCCCACTCGTTTGCTCGCTTACATAAAATATCCTGCAAATATCCAGTTAAATCGACTGGAAAGCCCCAGGATTGACTCTCCACCTCTTCATGTCTAAGGCTGCTGTTATTATCTGTTTTACAGCTCTGAGATGTCCCTAAGATGTTTTTTGGGGGGCTTTGAACAGTAATCTCTTCTCCCACAGTCACTCTAAATTTTCAGCGCGGCATGAGAGTAATACAACCAGTGACGTCACTAGGCTGTTTTGGCCGTGCCAAAATGGCTGCCA